CTCTGTACACAGAGACAAGTGATGATACACATCGAGCTTTACATAACCAGTATAAACTGAACGTTAAATGTGCGGAAAGATGATACGACGCGATGCCAGGGTAAACTGGATTTGTATAGAACCTACCAACGGCAAGTACCAATGTGACCTTTTCCGAGTTATATGTATTTTCTAAGATTATCTAGACACAACTGACAAACGGTGAAGGAAAACATCGTGAGGAAACCTGAGCTTATAATTTCTAATTAGGTATAAGTTTGAAATCGCCAACCCGCATTGAGCAAGCGTGATGATTCATGCTCTAACCTTCTCCATGTGAGAAGAGGCTTTGGTCAGTAGTGGGCATTTATAGGCTGTTGATGAGGGATTCGCGATTGGAATAAATCCCGAATTTCAGTTCTGCCTCTTCTGGTTGATGGTTCAGAAGTTGAGTGAAATACGGGGTTCGGATACAGGATACATTTAGCATCAACTCCCAAAGAGAACCGTACAATTGGACCAGTGCGCACTGCGCAATAACTGTCCCTTCTGTGCATGCTTCACGCTTCCATACATATTTGCTTACCCTACACTCTGCCACAGACACTTACATTTGTTATTATAATTCCATTGTGGAATTCTTTGCCGGAGTCTGTATTTCGTGAAGGGTGTCTTCAAGGCCCGAGTGAATAGGATACTTATGGGACGACGTGCTTCATCGTAAACCCCTAGACCGTTTTATCGCTTACCCCGAGGCGAGATAATGGTCAAACGTCGGATAATATCAGAAAATACAACATTTATAATACACTTAGTTCATAATAATTATTACTTGGTATGTAAAATCGATAAGAAACACAATAATTGTAACATTTCGATGAATTAAAAATAGATAACACAATTAAGTCATAATGAAGTAACTTCAGAAACTTATCGATACAAATTATGTACAATTTGATAAATCGATTTCGTAAATGATCGGTATAAAAGATAGAAATAATCGATTTGAATTTACAGTTATATTTTTATCGTAACACGATGTGTTGTAAAGGTATTTTCTTGTTTTGCCTTGTAGCCGCAGTTTTTCAGGTAAGTTCGTTTCTTTTTTGCAATTGTTTAGTTTTTGGAAAGCCTTACAATATTAAGGTTACGACATTTTATTTGGGTAATGCGATGCATGAATTAGAGAATAGGGTATATGACTAATTTTTATTTTAATGTCCGTCTGGTAGATTATTTAAAAACATTAGACACGTATTTTTTATTTTCTTACGGAAACAAGTAGTTTTGAAGATATTGATTTGAAATGTCGCGTGACGTCACTTCTATGTACATTCTATTCGTAGAAATGACGTTGTAGCCCCCACTCCACCCTGTAGCATGAGGTCCTATTATTTATGCAGCAGCTGTAGCTGTCAAAAATTTGCTGTCAAATGGTTTGACGGTAGCAAATTCTCTATTGAACATAAAGGACCTGATACCACATTGAACACCCAGTATAAACTGAACGTCGAATGTTCGGAAAGATCATATGCAATGAGACCATGAGAAATGGTTTTGAATATCTTATCTAATATTAATTACCTACATAAATACCTACTAAACTTCCTCTTTATTCCTTTACAGAAAACTACATGCCTACCTTTAGGATACCAAGGTGCAATAAGTCCTTGCAACCAGCTCATTCCAGAATCCATCGCTGGATCACCAATCATCACTGAAATAGTGCCATCTTTACAATTCGGTGACATCACAGTTTCCGGTGACCTGCCGATAGGTGGCAGTATAAAAGTGAAAGGAGTTTTCCCAGTTTACGGCACGGTGACGTTAGATGGCGCGCTTCCATCATCTGGATCAGCTGTTGTAAACACTGGGTGCGGTGTTGTATCACAAGTTGTTTAAAATGTGTTTTTGTAAATAAATTATTTCTTGTTGTTATTGTTATATTTTGTGGTTTCATTTTTCGTGTCTTTGGGGTATAAAGAGTTACGTTAGTGGTCATACGACCGATTATCTGTATCTACTAATTATCGGGTATTATAAAGCTGAAAAGTTTATTTGTTTAACTGCGCTAATCATCGGAACCACAAACAAACAAAATTATGTATTGATAAAGTGTCTGAGTAGCTTTTGTGTTAAACAAACAATAGGAAATTTAATGTGATTACAAACAAAATAACCTGCAACTTGAAATTAAACGTAAACCGTTGTTCCATCAACCAGTCCATAATATTACTTCCTAGCTACTTCCGCGCGGTTACACTCGCTCTGCTCGGCGCCTCTTAATCTTAGCGTGATATTTTATAGCCTATAACCTTCCTCGATAAATAGGCTATACAACACAGAAAGAATTTTTCAAATCGGACGAGTAGTTTCGGAGATTAGCGCGTTCAAACAAAAAAACAAACTCTTCAGATTTATAATATTAGTATAGATTCATACTTATATCGTGAAATCTATTTCGTTTTCGTCCTGTGGCAAAACAACTTGCCATAAGGAGTACTTTCGATGTATTAAGTAAAAACAAAAAAAAATATGTAATTTTTTTAGTTAAATAAAAAAATCGCGGTTATAAACACTATGAAACTAGACGTTTTGTAGGCACTATTCGCATGACACGTGCCACCATGAAATACCTCTTCGAGAAATACATGGCGTGATGTTTTGATAACGTACTATGCGTTCGTATGCGCTTTTGAAGTTTGCTTTTTGCAATGGATCACCAGTTATTATTTGTTTTAAACATTTTATTTCTTTGTAAAACTATTGTATTACCGAGACAGTAACCATTTTATTTCAGGACGAATTCGAAATAGATTTCAAGGTGTATTTGGCTGAAATTAGGTAATAACTTATTTAAATCCATAATCTATATTTTAAGATCGTTTTTTGGTAGAAACTCCTTAGAACTAATTCCAAAAAATCGATTCTTATCCACAGATTTTGTCGCGGAGAATCTAACGGGTTACCGGGGCTCCGGCTCGACGTGCAGGAGAAGGAACGGGGTAGTTTTAGTCAGTAAGAGTCTGACACTCCTTCCCGCCTCACCCAGGCGGGAGCAGTCATTCGATGAATTTCCCCCTTAAAAAAAATCCACAGGTTTTGGATTCAGATGGGTTAACAAATCCAGCCACAAATCGACTAATAATAAATTACTTCATCAACTTTATTTAAAGTAAGTGCTAGCAGCGGCTTCGCGCGGTTCCGTTGGATACAAAGTATCCTATGTTATTGTCGCGGAGAACCTAACAGGTTGCCGGGGCTCCGGCTCGAAGTGCAGGAGAAGGAACGGGGTAGTTTGTAGTCAGTAAGAGTCTGACACTCCCTCCCGCCTCACCGTGGCGGGAGCAGACTTTGATGTTTTTCCTCTTATAAAAAAAATCTACTGTAACAAATTCGGCCCTATCCCTTCAGTCATTGTGACGTTATTAAATAATGAACTCACAAACACACAAACATTTTTCGCATTTACAATCAACATCAGCTGGCTTCAGCCATGTTGATTTCTAAAAATTGTAATAGATTGGCTATTACTGTCGTTTATTGGATACACTGATCTGATTCTTCGCATTAAGTTTATCATAGTCGAGTAGCAGCAACCTAACCAAATGCGTGTAACGAAACCATAGCGACTTCTAATTTGGCCCTAACGCCATCTAGTTGCAAACTAGGAACTACAAATAAAAACATGATACAGAGAATGAAACTTTTTCGTTAAAAAAACAAATCGTGTACCTGCCAACTAGTCAAATTCAATACTTTTTTCGAACTGTCAAAAACGACAGTTTACTATGAATTTTGTACGAGATTATGTATTGTGACGTCATGTTTTTTAACATCAAACTGCATACTTATTTCTTAAAAAATTGGTGGAATAATACTAAAATCGAGTTGGTCATAAAATCAAATAATGAAAGTGTAATAATTTTTTTATTAATCTTGGTTTGTACGACTTACCTACTATACATTACATTAATATTTTTCTTAATATTTTTGAGATAATTATCGTGTCAACTGGTGCCCAATATTTCATTATCTTTCTTTATTTTTTCTTAGCTTATTAAATTTAATTATCTGCTACCATTTATTCGTGGCTGTGACCACTTGGAATAAGGTAATTAGAAACAAGTTTACGCTCCCACTCAAGACGCAACAGAAGAGATGATAAATACCTTTTATGACCAAATAAATCATGCCAGCCTTACGGAACCGCGGAGAACCTAACGGGTTACCGGGGCTCCGGCTCGAAGTGCAGGAGAAGGAACGGGGTAGTTTGTAGTCAATAAGAGTCTGACACTCCCTCCCGCCTCACCCAGGCGGGAGAAGTTATTCGATGATTTTTTCCCCCCTTAAAAAAAGCGTTACAAATGGAAAAGAAATGTGGGAGAGCCATGCTTCGGCACGAATGTGTCGTCTCGACTGGAGTGATACCACGGCCTTACAGAAAACCGACGTAAAGCAACGCTTGCGTTGTGTTTCGTCATGTGAGTGAGGTGTCCATGGGCGACACCAATTGCTTACCATCAGGTGATCCGTCTGCCTAAAAAAAAATATAGCTGGTTCGATTCTCGCATGCAGCAACGCTTTATGTGATCCAGGAATTGTTGTTCCCGGCCTGGATGTGAGTGAATTTGATTAGTTAATGCGCTCACTAGGTACGTATTTAAAGATGAACGCATTCATAAAAAATATTTATACTCTATGGTCATCTCAGTGGCAACATCGTGTGGGGTCTAGTTTATAAAAAAGAAAACCAAGTCTTAAACACATAGAAAATATATTTTATACATAATTACACAACATAAAATTATTTATAACAGAACGAATTCAAAAGTACATAATAATATTATTATACACAATAATAAAATAAAATATACTAGGTAATATTTTTTATATAGATGATATTCAAAATGTTTTGTTTGTCAATGCCTCCCTACTTTCCGTCATTGATTAATACATCTTATGCTATCATATAAAGCGGAAGTTTGTTTTTTGTTTGTTTGTTTGAACGCGCTAATCTCCGTAACTACAAGTCTGATTTGAATAATTATTTTTGTGTTGGATAGCGCATTTATTGAGGAAGGCTATAGGCTATAAAACGTCACGGCTACGACCAATATGAGCTGAGCAGAGCATGTGAAACCGCGCGGAAGTAGCTAGTTAAACTAATAATACCAAAGCAATAAAAAATATTTAGTACCTAATATCTAGTACAAGTGTTTTTCTTAGGTTACAAGTTAGGTACGTTAATTTCTGATTTTTTAAATAAGTAAACCAAAAATCATCAGCGTCGGTCCAGCCGTTTTCGAACTACAAAAATTTATGTAAAATATTAATAAATATAAGTAGTATATGTATAGATATGTAAAATGTAGATAAATACATTAATATTGAAGTTTACGGTTGACTTACGTAAATTCTTCTGGAGAAGCTCAAAATGGCTCGAGGTAACAAATGCAGCTGGATGATTAAGACTCCCCGTATGTGACTTGAAATAAGTCGAGCTTTTCTCGAACATCATCATCATCAGCAGCCTATAAGTGGTCACTGCTGAGCAAAGCCTCTTCTCACACGGAGAAGGTTTTAGCATCAATCACCACGCTTGCTCAATGCGGGTTGGCGATTTATAACTTAGAAATTATAAGCTCAGGTTTCCTCACGATGTTTTCCTTCACCGTTCGTAGCCGCACCGGTGTGCTTCAGTGGTGTCTAAATAATCTTAGAAAGTACATATAACTCGGGAAAAGTCACATTAGTACTTGCCGTTGATAGGTTTCGAACTCGCACCTCATTCACGAGAAGCGAGCGTCTTAAACTTCCGGGCCACCACGACATTTCTCGAACGGTTCACGGGAATTAGCCATATATACTTCAACCATTTAAATAAGTCTCTCTATATAGATACTAAACAAAATAAAACACATACATAGATATAATTTCAACCAATCACATGGCATTAATTTTAGAGCAAAATTAGTGTAGTTGATTGGCTTATAAATGCATCAGTAATTAACGAATATCTTTTTAAATATGCATCGAAACAAACTATACAGGCTGTTTCATAAAGCAAGGGAATTTTTTTTTAAAGTATTTTAAAGAAAAATATATATATTTGAATTGAGAACCTCTTTTTTGTGACTAATGGACCCTTCGTTTTTTAAAATGTAGCAAAATGAGTAGGTACTATTATAATTATTAAAGTTATTGAAATATTTTTATTGATTCATTAATTAAACTTTGCAGTTGTAATGTGGTGATGGGACAAGTTGAAGCTGAACCTTTTTTAAATAAAAATAAATGTAAAAAAATACCACTGTACCGTGTTAGGCAAAGGTCTCGCGATCTTCTCCCGCGTCCGCCGCGGTGGCGGAATGGAGGCGGAATATAAGTGCGACTGCCGGGGCAAGGAGTCTCGAGTTCGATTCCCAAATCGGGCAAAATTTTACTGGATTTTTAAAAAAATGTCATTAGTAGCACGGAGTCTGGAATTGTACCCGGTATGTAGCAATAGACCCACCCCCTATTACATGGGATTCATAACATAAATAGTGAAAATTGGAAGTTGCATTATACAGTGGCATAATGTGTACTTCTGCCTACCCCTTCGGGGGTAAAAGGCATGATGTTATGATGATGAAATTGCTCTCTTACGTAGAGGAGACCTTAAGTCCAGCAGACACGAACTTTTCATATTGGTAGCACTATTAGAGGTACAAAGTGAGGTCGAATTACTTATTGAAAAAAATTGTCACTTTATCAAACAACTTGTACAGATACAATCAGATCAACCTATCCCAATCTGTCAAACTTTAATAAATTCTCAACTTTAGCACAAATGAATAGAGTTAAAAATTTATTAAATAAAGACATATTAGTTGGTGAACTGTGCTACTATCCATATGGCATAAACGCTAGTCGAACCGATGTGAATTAAAACATCAATGTATGAGATTGACACAGTACATACGATTAAAGGCGTACTCATGTACCTAACTGTTCAACGGAGTATCTCGCCTAGTTTCAAGCTACGCTAGGGACCCATAATAGTAATGAGCAGCGTTGCGCGACATACGACGCACTTAACGGCCCGCAGCCAATGTGGTATTTTTACTCATCAGATAACGCCAATCTAGCACAAGGTTTATTTGACCAATCACTGCAGCCGTCAAATAATATTGGAAGTCTAATGTCGTTACACCATCTGTTTAGGAAAAAGTACAGTAGCCCCCATTGATTGGCTATGAACTCCTACCGTGGCTTGAAACAATTTGAGTCACGTCGTCAGTTACATGAGTTAAACACAAATGTCTCACAAAAGTTATAATATGACTTTAAAATATATTTATACAGTATGTAAATGGAACGCTCCCGAAAAACGCCGACAGATTATGGTCAAAAACCAGTTTTAAGTAAAGTAACGAATTAAATGTTTCCCTTATGTAATAATTGTTGTACATAACCGCTCAAGGCTGACGTTGTATGAATAACATGTAAACAACAACGATTAAAATTTTAAAAACTATTATTTTTGTCAGCGTTTTTCGGGAGCGTTCCTATTACACCCTGTATAATACCTTGCTGTGCCCGACAGGGCCCACAATGATCTGTATTATTCTATGTTACCACCTAAGTAAAACATTGTTGAACGCAATAAACAATTTGAATTTGAAAAACGTATGTCAAGCACAGACATTGACGGTCTTATCCATCGATTCGACTAGCATTTATACCAACCATTTGTGAAGGCTGCCGTCTTTACTTCCAACGCCCATACATATCACCAAAAACTTAGAGAATATAGCTATATCCAAGTCCGTTGTACCCACAACCGCATCCGCCGTACGCGTAAGATGGGTATGCGGAGGCTACTGGGACGGGAACGGGGACAGCGGCTACCACATTAGGATTCAATGGAAGAGCTTCAGACAAAAGGCTGCTGACAGTTAGCAGGGAGAGAGTGTCAGCCAGGCTAGCGGCTACACTTGGCTGGGCTACAGTGGTGATCGGTGCTGAGACCGCCAAGGGAGCGGAGACCAGCGGAGAAAGACCTCTGATGCAATGGCTGTAGGCGTTCTGCAACAAAAGAATATATGGTTTATTCTCGGGAATTTGTTTTGTGGGCTTGTGATAGACTGGTCTGTGTGGCGTTTTTATTGAACTTCGTAATAGGATTAGTTTTTTTTTTAATCTGAAAAATCGCGTTAATTTTTTTATTCAATCCGAAATGCGAAATTGCCAACACAAGGCCCGATATTCGGTGATTTTAATAATTATAAAAAAAAATATTTTTTTTAATCCTTTCTTAACTTGAACATCGAAAGACATAACAACCATTTGGCTATTCCAGTAACAACTATAAACCCAATCTCTTATACTTTAACCAGTTCATAACCAAAAACTAGAATATTCACGAAATTCATAATTTTTAACACGACGATTGCAATTCCTTCATTTTTAGTTCCTTCATTATAACTAGGTGGCGTTAGCAGTCGGCTTAGAACTCGGTATGGTTTCGTTACACGTGTTTAGTTAGGTTCGACGCTTTGTTTTGCAATAGCTGTGTCACCAACACTAGTACATTTCCATGATTTTCCTGGAACTTTTTGGTATATATCAACATACTTACGCTATGTTGATTATAAAATGTGAAAATTCAATTAATCATCATGATGGTCACATGACGTCCACCACTGAATATAGACCTCAACCGGTAACCCTAAACCGGTTAGAAATGACCTGCACTGTATCCAAAATCCCTTCTTTCTTTTTAAATTTGAGGGGGTAAATCATCAAATGTGGGCCCGCCTTGGGTGAGGCGAGACTGGACTGGACTCAGACACTCACTGACTAAAAACCCCTAAAAACTAGTCTTGGGACCTTAACAAGCGCGAGACGATCTCCGGCCACCGTAAGCACGGGCCTGCGAACGGCGAGCACGGGTGACTCGCTGCCCGACCAGAACCAGGCCCGAGCGTACGGCGCGTCGCGTTCCGCGCGCGGATTAAGGAGCCATCAGACCACCACAGATGGGACCTAACAGGGCTGATGCCGATATGGAGCCGCGGAAGACTTAACGGGTTGCCGGGGCTCCAGCTCGAAGTGCAGGAGTAGGAACGGGGTGGTTTTTAGTCAGTAAAAGTCTGACACTCCCTCCCGCCTCACCCGGGCGGGAGAAGTCATCGGATGATTTTTCCCCCTCAAAATAAAAATAAAATAAAAGGACCTTAACAAGAGGACCTTAATCTACTAAGAGGACCCGGTGCCTCCTTCAGGTGCGGATGGTGGCTACCGGGTAGGTTTTAGTGATGTAAAAATCCCACACTTCCGAGTCTTTATTCCCCAAAAAGCTAGGCGTCTATAGAAAGTTTCCCCCCGTCGATAAAAAAAAAATAAAAAAGAGGGCCTTAGAAAACACTCCTAATATTGAACATGGTATTAAATATTAACTTATATTTCAATTAAAAATTAACTGCTCGGTGACGGAGTGGTCGCAAGTGCGACTGCTGGGTAAGGGGTCTATTCGATTCCCGGGTCGGGCAAAGTATTACTGGGTTTTAAAAAAATCTCAGTAGTAGCACGGAGTTTGGAATTGTGCCCGGTACATGGCAATAGGCTCACCTATTACATGGGACTCATAAGTAGTGAAAAGTGTGTGTTACATTGTACATTGGCATTAAGTGCCGTAATGTGCACCTCTGCCTACCCCTTCGGCATAAAAATGTTATGTTAAAAAATAACTTACCTGAATAAGAACAGCCTTTACCACAAAGATGACGATAGCGAAGAATTTCATTTTTAATGTTCTTTTTCGATTTTACTTCGACAGAATGTACCTTCCTGACATCGTTTACCATTATTTATACAAATAGATTATGTGTATTTCAAAATTATATGTACTTTATCAATGTATAAATTGAAATATTTCTTTATTACCTACTAACTTGCAGTAATTAAAATTATGGGGCAACTTTTCTATGATAAAACTTGTAGTTGTTATTCAGTAATAATAATTGAATATTATCTACCTACCTATTGTTCAGTAGTCAAGTCAAAGTCGAATCATATTTTTTATTGACGGCTGACATTTTCTTTAAGGGGGGAAAATCATGGAGTAGCTTCTACCGCCCGCGGGGGGAATGTCTCTTATTGACTATAAACCTCCACAATCCTACTCCTGCCCTTCGAGCCGGAGCCCCGGTAATGGTAATCCGTTAGGTCCTCCGCGGCTCCGTATCGGCGTTAGCCCTATTGAGCCCCATCCATGGTGGTCTAATAGCTCTTTGAGGCGCGCGCGGAACGCAACGAGCCACACGCTTGACCGGCTGGAGATCGTCCCGCGATCCCCGACGCCCGGAGTGTCCCTCGCGACACGGCTGGGCTGTGAAGAGGCAACGCTTCCCAAAAGGAGGAGACGGCATCCCAGTTCTCTTCGCTCCATATCATGGCCTGGACTAGGGCCGGACGCGAGAGGTCGCCGTCGCCGATCACATCCCTGAGGGCCCCGGCGGTGCTCAGCCCAATTTTTTTTTTTTTTTAAGCGGGGAATATCATCGAATGACTGCTCCCGCCTGGGTGAGGCGGAAGGGAGTGTCAGACTCTTACTGACTAAAAACCACCCTGTTCCTTCTCCTGTACGTCGAGTCGGAGCCCCGGTTACCAGTTAGGTTCTCCGCGACTCCGAATCGGCATCAGCCGTATTGGGCCCCATCTGTGGTGGTCTGATGGCTCTCGGGTCTGTTTCTGGTCGGACGGGGAGCCACCCATGCTCGCCGTCCGCAGGCCCGCGCTTACGGTGGCCGGAGATCGTCTCGCGATCCCCGACGCCCGGTGTGTCCTTCGCGATGGCTGGGTTGCGAGTAGGCAGCGCTTCGCTGCCTCACGCGTCCCGCCTCCTCCTTAGCTAGCATGACTGCTTCGCAAAAGGAGGAGACGGCATCCCAGTCCCCCTCGCTCCGCATCATGGCCTGCACTAGGCCCGGATGCGAGAGGTTGCCATCGCCGATCACTTCCCTGAGGGCACGGTGGTGCTCAGCCCACGCAGGGCATTCCGCTACAGTGTGTTCCACCGTGTCCTCAAGACGGTCCTAGCAGTGATGACACCTGGGCGTTTCCTCCCGCCCTATCAGACACAGGTACCTCCCGAAACTCCCATGTCCGGTGAGGACCTGCGTCAGGCGGTAGCGTCTCTCAAGCTACTTCTCAAAGAGGGAACTTACCGCTGCAATGGCAGCGAACCCAATTTTACCTCATTAGCTAGCAAAAACTAACTGTTTAATGTTGAGAAAATTTTGTACCTATTGGACAAATCAAAGATCTTAAAGCTACAAAGCGGACGACCTAGCGGACAACCGCGGCTACGGGTTTGGTCAATAAGAGTCTAAAACTCTCTCTCGCCTCACCTAAGACCTCCTCTTAGCCTCGGGGAAGACATAATTATTTTGATGATTCCCCCTTAAAAAGTGACATTATATTGCGAAGTGCCGCCTGCTGGTGACTACAACAATGTAGGTCCCATAAATTAATAAAATTCTATAGTAGGTCCTAAATACGCCAAAAAAGATCTTATAAAAATCAAGGTAGCGATGATTTCCAGTTCGAACAAAGTACTTCTAAACTATGAGATCTTTTTTATTAGATTCCAGAACTCCGTGCAAAAACGAAATTTTCGAAAAAGAAAAAAATGAATTTTCTGATGACGTTTTGGTTTTTTAATTTGTGCAATAGTGACACGACACCACATTATTATGTCATAGTGAAACCGATTAATGAAATATGAGTTTTGTAATCGATTAACTCGATAAAAGTAAATATACAAACGTTGCGATTAGAAACGGTTCGTTTATTGATAAGTTTAATTTAATCGAAGTGTGTAGTGTTTTCATGTATTTTTTTATTTATTTAAATTAATATTGTTTTGTAGTTTGTAAAAAATGATTACTAGATTTTTGCTTGTGGCCGTTTTTACTTTAGTTTTAAAAGTGAGTACTTACTTAGATGCTTTTTTAATTAATCAATCAAAGTTAAAAGGCATACTTTTATTTTAATGTGCTTAGCCTTGTAAAATTACCGGGGCTCCGGCTTGACGTGCAGAAGAAGGAACGGGGTGGTTTTTAGTAACCCAGGCGGGAGCAGTCATTCGATGATTTGCCCCCTTAAAAAAAAGCCTTGTAAAATTACAAACAATTAGGTACCTGAGTATTTACAATTGTAAAATCAAAATAATAAATTGATAAGTACCTACTAATACTACAAATGCGATGGATGGATGGATCAGCTGATTGTAAGCAATCGGCGGCGCCCATGGACACCTGGAACACCAGAGGCGTTACAAGTGCGTTACCGGCCTTTTAGGGATTAGAAGGATTGATGGGGATTCAGGGATTGGGGAGATTGGGGAAGGGGGCAATTGGGGCTCCGGCAACCTTACTCAGACGACGAAACATAACGCAAGCGCTGTTTCAAGTCGGTTTTCTGCGAGGCTGTAGTATCACACCGGTCGAGCCGGTCCTTACGTACCGAAGCATGGCTCTCCCACACTTAAAACCTTCTTGTAGATTAACTATCTATTGCTGCGTATACCGTACAAAAATCTGTACCGTAGTTTTTGAGTTTATGGCTTTCATACAGAGGCCTTAGTACCAGTTTTTTTTATGTTTAAAGTTATCGAAACAAGGAGGCGGCCAATAAAAGCGCCGAACGCGTTCTCCTTTCACTTACTTACAAGGAAAGCAAAGTCATACTAAGCCTTCTGATTATAAAGGACAGACGCAAAATGTAACAGCTTTAGGGAATGCAAAGATATTAATTCGCAATAAAATCTCTTTCAGAACGCCCGAACACAGACCATCGATGACTTAGCCCCTCAGAATCCAGTGACCATTGCATCATCGCCTACAACGGCTTCAAAATGGGAACAACTCATACCAGCGCTTCAACTAATTAGAGCCAACACCGAAATCAAAAAAGAAAGACTGCATAATGTCATGAAATTAATCAAAATCATTTTAGCTGAAGAAATGGAGAATAAAGAAGGGTCTAAGATAGATTCTGATGAAGGTATAGATGAGAAGAAGAGAGAAGAAAAAGAAGAGGCTATGAATGTTATAAATAAAGAAGAAGAACAAGAAAAAGGGGATGCTTTCTCTATTCCAGTTATTGATTTTGAAAGCATAGTAGATGAGAGACTTCAAAGTATAAAAGAGATCATTGATGATAGAAATTTTATGTTAGATAAATCAAAATATGAGTGTGAAAAGGATGAAAATGATATGCCGAAGAATAAATCAGCTAATATTAGCGATATTGTTAACAAAATCTCGACAGCTTTAAACAAATTAAAAGAACCAAATCGTCCAGAACCCGAAACGGAAACACCGAACTTGATACCAATATTCAGATCCAAAGAAAACATTAATAGTTTGAATTCTTTGAAACTGTCAGATTCAAGACAAGCTGAAATTATCCCTACATCCAACTTCCCAGCGTTCACAATCCCTTGCCAGAAAGCTTCAGATATTTTAGCAGAAACAGCAACTTTTCCATTACCAAACGACGTATTGTGTAATAATCCAAGTGGGAATTTAAAAGCAATGGCTAAGAACACTAAGTTGAATTTGGATAATCTGCCTTTTGAGAACATAGTACCTAATTCGATTACTTGTGTTGATTCTGAGGATTCTCTTGCAGTATTGTTTAAACCTAAGGCAATATCATTGATGCAGGTCTACGGAAATTTGTTGAAAAAAATTACTATCACTGTTCTTGTTCCTTATTACGTATCCAAATTACCATTCTAGTGATCAGTATCATCATCATCATCATCATCATTGTCAGCAGCCTATAAGTTGGCAGTATCCTGTGCTATAAGTGCCCATACATACATAACCCCACGCCTGTGTAGACAGAGACTATGGAACTCCAATTGATACGATTCCTACATACCTCTTTCGCTTCATCAACAGTCATCAGTCTTTTCATGCATGCTCGCCGGTTAACTGTACTTTTTTGGCCCTTTTTTAATATATCGCCAATCTGGTTGATTGTGCTTGTTTAGGTCGCTTTCTACCGACGGTCCCATTCATATCTATTTCGCATAAGTGCCCACTGCTGTGAAAAGTCTCTTCACACAGTTGGTGTGAGTATTAATCAATGTTGTTGTTGTTGGTTGACATAATCAATCATCATCGTTACAAATATCTTTGTCATAATGACCATACATTAGCCTAAAGACGTCTACTACCTCACATACGCCTTCTCCGATGACTTCCAGATAGACTAGTTGGAAGTAGTTTGCAATCGGGCTGTCTGCTACCTTTATCAAGTCCACCTTGTAGGTCCGTCTTGTGCTGCGCTTGCCAGTATTGAAAACACCATTAGTCGTGAAATTATTTAATAGATTTTCAATCTTACTCTATTGCAATAAGTTTTAAAATGTCTTACGACTGATTTCTATTCTAGACTAGCGACCCGCCCTGGCTTCGCCCGGGTGCAATATGCTGTATTATACATATAAACCTTCCTTAAGAATCACTATCTATTAAAGAAAAGCGCATCAAAATCTGTTGCGTAGTTTTAAAGATCTAAGCATACATAGGGACAAACAGGCGGCGGATAGCGACTTTGTTTTTTAATATGTAGTGATATGCTTTGAAAGATAGATTTAAGAATATTATTTATTTTACCTAGTAAATAAAGTTTTAAATTATTCTTTTGTTGTTTCATTTCTGTGTACTAAAGTTAAACAAGAATAAGTACCAAACTCAATTCCTTGGTTGAATTGCTCCGGCTCGAAGTGCAGGAGAAGGAACGGCATGGTTTTTAGTCAGTAAGAGTCTGACACTCCCTCCCACCTCACCCAGGCGGGAGCAGATATTCGAAGATTTTCCGCCCTAAAAAAATAATAATTGTGTAACTTTCAATTCTAACGATCGAAGTAACGTCTATGGCGGTTCGCCATGTCATTGGTTGTGAGAACAATCTTGACCAATGACGGGCGGGAATCCGATCAAGCTCACTTTGAAAGTTCTTAGTTCTTGATTCTTCGTTGACAGTAATAGCCTAGCAGCCTGAATCAGTAATGAAACTGCATTATAGGCTGTGTCGTCGCTGGTTTAAATCCAGGGTCAGAAAAATTTTTAATAGTCAATTTTTTATTTTTTAAATACAGAAGTCTGGCGTGTTGTCCAACTTATGGCAATATGCTTAAAACAGAGCTCATAACATACATATCTAAGTAGGAACCTACGTAGGTATGCGCGTGGGAGAGCCATGCTTCGTCACGGATTGGCCGACTCGACCGGAGTGATACCACGGCCTCATAGAAAACCAACGTGAAACAACGCTTGCGTTGTGTTTCGTCGTGTGAGTGAGGTTTTCAGAGGCCCATTTACCTCCTCCCCCCTCGCCAATCTACCCAATCTCTGAATCCCCCACAACCCTCAAATATTCCTAATCCCCAAAAGGCCGGTAACGCACTTGTAACGCCTCTGGTGTTTCTGGTGGCGGCACCGATTGCTTAACATCAGGTGATCCGTCTGATCGTTTAGCGGCTTATCTCATATAAAAAATATAGGTAGGTAATGCAAAATAACCTATTCCTTCAGGCTTTTAAAGATTGTTATTAAATTAATAGATTAAACTTTTGTGTGTCTAAGACGTGTATCCACGCGAGACAATGTATTTTTTCAATTGTGTCTCATATCGGTGCATTCAAAAGGTTATTAATGTATTTCATAAAAACAAAGAAACACTTATTATTTCGATTGTCAAGAAATGTAGTTTATCGCACAACAGTCAGGTTACGAAAATTGTTTCGACAAAGCACCTGCGGTTTCAACAATTACCTGCCCTGGTTATAGTTAAAAATGCAAGCTATTTCATTTGTTTTAATAAGTGATTGAAATAAGTCTAGTAAATTTGACACTACTCATGTTCAAGGGAAGTGGAAACTATCGTTTTTTTCTTCTCCTCTTATAATATCTTCTGATTCACTTCGTTGCGGAAACCAAGACAGTTATTCAGGTCCCTGGGATCGCGCCGGACTTCAGTGTTCCGGTGTTTTCATGTTTGTATCTACTTTAGATCCTGGCTTACAGGAGTCGCAGCGATTTTGGGAGGTTGTGGCGGGCTTGTCCCATAACAACTAGTCAAGTTCAGTACTATTTTATGAAAGTAATGTCAAAAACAAGGATGTTGCAAAAAGGCGGACACAGTTTCTTGAAACAACGACTGCGGCACCTGGCTACTATAGACTTACACGCAGAACATACACACATTGACACGAAGGACATCTGTCATTTTATTAAGTCTGGTAACGTGGTAACTTATTACACACGCATACATAACCTACTGATATATTCGTGCTTCAGTTATTTGTAAATGACATTATGTCCGCCTTTTTTTTCAATCTCCTTGGTCAACGATACTTTTCTATGGCTTTTGTATAAGGTAGTAGAACCTAACGGGTAACCGGGGCTCCGGCTCGACGTGCAGGAGAAGGAACGGGGTGGTTTTTAGTCAGTAAGAGTCTGACACTCCCTCCCGCCTCACCCAGGCGGGAGCAGTCTTTCGATGATTTTTGCCCATTAAAAAAAAAGACTTGTGACGTCATCGTACTACATTATTTTTGCAAAAAAAAATAATTCGGATTAGTTCCCATACTTTAAATTTTAAAAAGAATTTCACGAACACCGTCAGCTGTGGTTTTATCAATGACGTTTAGATTTAGAACAAGAACATTTTATCAGACTTTATTTAACAAAAATAACTGTAAGTAGGACTTAGGATACTTCATTTTATCATTATCAAGTAAGCCACGTTCTTGTTATTCGAATTACTTACTTACGTAAGCTGGCAAATACACTGTTTCTAAGTAATTATCCTAAAATGGTAGGTACCCATTTAATGACGTAGTTCCAAGAAGACGCCGAGTCACTATGCCATTTTAAACCTCACCAAAAAATCTATGAATAAGCGAAATTCGCCTTTAAATGTCGAACATTATTCTAAACTTTTATAAATAGATGTTATTTTCATTCTTACATAGATATATGAAAGTCATAAGGTCTAAAATCGCTTCGCAAACATAACAATCGACTAAGCGAGGGCGGGGGTGTAAACATCGTGACGTCACGGGAGGCCATTGCGCTTGTGCGGGAGTTCTGAGACGGTACACACTAGACGAGAATTTCGAAATGTGAATACATATTAGTAAAATTACTTCTAAATAAAATTTTGAATAAAGAACGCCTTTCTAGATTCAAAGAGCAACTTGTTGTATAGAAAAAATACAGATAGTTACCTAAAGGACAATAGCATTAAAAAACCTTCTGATAAAAAAAAAATTTCTCACTAACTCTATTGTTTTCACGAGTGCTGTAGTATATAACTATACACACTACACGTACACATTAACAGATACCGAGGCCAGGTAGCACATCCAACTGCGATCTCCTTGCTTACAAACCATCAATCATATTTATAAAGATGGAGGTCGATGATAGTCCAGCTGAAAACCTTTCAGTACTAGTCGGTACCGAATGTCTAATTTTAGAAACTGAAATAATTGTTAGTTCATCGAACACTAGTTACCTACTTTGACGCCTACGTATAAACTGATAGCAAAATATTGTTTATTATTCGCTAATAGTATCACTAAGACTAGACGTCTTTTGAGTTTGATTATTCAAACCATCCCTTAGAATCAACATCACCAGATTGATGATAACTGATGAAACCAAAAACTTATTGTTTTCTTTTGTTTGATTAAATAAACGACATTCATGTATAGGAATTATAAAGAATAAAAAGTCCACCCGTGTATTCCGCCCTATGCTCCCTAAAAATATATGGAGGTAGCCTACTTATATAGTATTATACTGTCGCTGCGGCGACTAACTCAGTACCAGTCGTGAACACGCCGTCAAGCCTGAATGTCGTTACCCAGGATAGAACTGAATAGTAGAAAAATCCATAAAAGTGTAATCAATTTTAATGTGCAACTCAGTAAAAAGACTAATCATTCCTTAATTGGAATATATTATTTCAGTGCAGTGTAAATCAAAGTGGAGTTATGACGTTATATGCCTTACCGGCATCCAGTTACATGATAAAAAAAAAGTTAATGAATATCGAGTCCCCTACAAGTAGTATGCCTTCGTTAATTTTTCGTAATCGGTAAGTTTTCTTATTATCGATTTGCCTGTTGTTATGTACGCATTACGGCGAGCTCTAATCGATTGTACTGCTGCTAACTTCACTACGGTTCTTGTTGACGTTTTGTTATGAACGAACGGAACGTTTTCCATGGTAACTCATAGTTGTCAAAGAATGTATTGATTTTTATTATTTTGACGCATAATCGTTTTAAGAGCAAGAGAACAGAAACAGAAAAGTTCAGTCTATTTAACCAAGCCTTTTTATGAAAATTTTAAAGAAAAGCGGAAACGATTATGTCATCAAAAATTTTAAGTAGTTGTAGAATGTTTTAGTACGTGTAAAGGAACGTGATTAAGGAGAATAGAAACGTCATGCATCCGGTGGCCATAATGGAAAAATTTTGTTATGCGACCAAATTCAGATGGTAGCGTACCGCGTGGGTTTTGTATGTAAATAATCGACTTCTGAAATAATAACGTTACACCTTTCGCTCGCACTTCAAGTTGATTATTCATCAAACCAAAGCAATTTACACTTCTTTGATTCGTGTTCATCACTGTTCGTGTGTGCTACGCAATTTCGCGATCCTTACGGGCTGACCGTGTTTTTCTTCCCAAGTTATTTCAAGGCTTAATTACGACTCGCCAAGATGACGAAGTTAATACAACAATTAAATTTTAGTAGTAGTATTAGTAGTAATTATAATAATTACTACGACGTCGCTGGCTTGGAACCACCCGCTGTTGAAGAGAAGAATTACTAGTAAGTCATTTCCTTTACCTTATTTCACTATCTTTTGTTTACAAATATGAAATTAGGGCATGATTACATCGATATAAGACATGTGTATAGTGAATTGAGTTATAGCATATCTCTTACGTATTACTTTTTACAATGTCCTTCTATTTCGATACGTCATCATTGTAATTGGCTGATTACCTTCATGTCGCAATCTTTTTTATATTTTTGTCTAACCTTTTTTTCACGTGGAGATTAGATGCATTGAGATTTTATTACGATTTTGAACATGGAATGCGGATTCGAATGTTATAATTTGAAATTAAGAAATCTTGCAATCGAAATAGTAGATGTTTGATGTATGTAAATGGAACATTAAAGATTTTAATGGCTTCCTTAATTGAGTCTAAGTAAATAATAAGTTACAGTTAACAATTATTTTGAACTTAATACCTATTAGACTTTGTAAATATCATGATAATGTGCTCTAATTGCCTCTCGAAAGGAGAAATAAGTTATTTGACTATATTTTAACCCTTGAAATTGGACTCATAGTCCACCAATAGAATCAATACTGACATACAACTCAATGTTATGGGCATAAAGCCAATGAATACCTAAAAAGCTAAGGGACATTGAAAGCGACCGGGAAGTGGTCTCTGATGAACCTGAACCTTTTAAGCTGCAACCAATTTTCCTGTTTATTGTGGAGATTATGGAAAACCGTTCTTAAGTAGAGGATACTTATACTCTAGCCATGGACTGGTATGGGCTTTTCATGACGATGATGACATTTATTTTCTTTCATTGCAATCGGTCGCCAGACCACAAGTAAATTAGTTGTGCTTACCGCCAGTTGGCTTCAATAGTTCAGCTACTATTGGGTTCGGATGCGAGGTTAATTGTTTCTTGTGTTGCATTGTGTGTTGCTCAATTTCAGAGATCACTGTTAGCATATGCAAGCCAAGGCACATCAACTATTACTCTTGGAATACCATTTTGAACTCTGGCAGATCATGTTGGATTTACTGGCTACGCTCCATAGCTGAATCCTGTATCTCCATATTGGCTTAAGAACTGGGTTGTAGATAAGTAGTTTATTGTCCACAGATAGTACAGAGTTCCTTCTTATTTGAGATGATAATGATAAGAATATGTTAGATAGTGTTCCATTGTCTCTGCAGATAATGCAAGATAGGTTCAAGTATTATGTTTGTCTGTATGTATATCTACTTCCACACGATGTTACCTGCTATTCAGCTACTATTTATCATAGTATGACGTTTTATAGCCTATCACATTCACATCCTATAAATTGTCACTGCTGATCAAAGGCTTCTTCTCACAAGGAGAATGTTTAAGCATCAATCACCACATTTGTCCAATGTGGGTTGACAATTTTAAACTTATAATCAGTAATTATAAGTCCACATACCAACGTATTATAACTTAGATAAAGTCATATTGATACTTGTTGTTGGTAGGTTTCAAGCGCCTGTGCCCTTACGCATGATAAGCAGGCGTCTTAAGGAACACTGACAGTCATTCAATTTGTACCAATGACATGATTTTGGGACTTTGGAAAGGACTTTGCTTTGCACATCCTGTGACATGCTAACTCTATTTCTTTTTTCCCTATTAATGGGTTTATATAGATTAAGTCCCAAACGCACGTCATCTCACCTGATTAAAGCCATATCGGCTGATTGTAAATTTGAGAAAAAAAAAGTACCAATAGTTCTAGCGATAAGCACATTTAAAAAACCTAACTTATTAACTTTAAGTTAGTCTGGATATCTATCATATCAATCATGGTATCAGTCAACCGATAACAGTTTAATATTGAGAGTAATAAGTTTTGGTTTACTCAAACTCATATCCATTTTATAAGTACACAATTTTAACTGCTATTTGCTTTTGAACATTTTTACAAATTTTTGCCACATACAAGCATGTTTTCTGGTGTTTTGGGTGCATCATATGCATGAATAATACCCAATTTGTGGATCACAGAAAAGAATTACTCTATAAGAAAATGCTAATTTTGCAAGATTGAGGCCGAAGTGCCTTGTATTGGAAATTACAACAAAATATTTCTACTGACAAATTTGAGGCGGGTTAAGTGAACCAATCTGATTAAAAATGACGAGTTCTGAAGACATCGAAATTGCATTCCTATACTCTGTCGCCAAGTCAGTTATTGTCATGTCGATACTGTCTCAGGTACATTTATTGTATAGAAAACAATGCAAGTTAATTTAATGCAATAAGTTGACCTTAGTCGGCTTCGTAATATCCTATTATAATAAAAAAATGGCGACTGGCTAAACTATCAATTGTTACCATCTATAATACATACTTACGAATATGTGAGCCTATTCAAATGTACAAAGAAATACGCTTATATCTGATTCTAATAGTTCTAATGAGTTCAAACAAACAAACAAAGAAACAAACATGCTAATCTTCGGACCTATTTAATTGGTTCGAATTAAATAATTTATTTAGTGTTGGATAGTACATACGACTATACGAGGCGAGCAGCGCAGGAGTAGCTAGTTCTTTATATTCTGCAGCTAATTGCTCATCAAGCTATCTCAATATTCATTTACCCACCAGATAACGCTAATGTTTGTTCCATCACCGTAACTGTAAAAAAATTGCGCCATCTAGTGAGCACTGAAGGGTTGCGAACTTGTGGATATCTGATTTTATAGGAAGCAAAAAAGTACGGACTTACAAAAAAGAGTATCATTTGTTTTGTCGTATATTTTGTACTTTTTGCATTACATAACAATTTTTCATTGTTATAAAGAAATTGTATAAGTCCAATTCTAAATTTATACATAATATATCAAGA